AGCTTTGCTGCCCTGCCCTGCCCCGGGCTCACCAGTCCCCCTCTTGGCTCTGCCATCCCAGCTGGGAGTTTTCAAATCTCCCAGCTGGAAATCCTCTCTCCCGTCCCTATGAAAATCGCGGCAGAGCAGCAATTCTTGGTGGAGTGGTCGCAAACGCTCGTCCCGAGCTGTGCCGCGGAAGTTGGAGTTGCTTTCTAGTGCCTTTTGTTTTAGTTCCTCCTTATTTCCTGCTGTTAATGCAATGGACTAAATAGTAGGTGATTTCTGAGGGTGTGGATTTAAAGCTTAAAGGGGAATATTGGTTGTATTTAGGCGGGGGTATAAATTCTTCGTGATTTGTTTGAAAAGTTAGTGTTTGCCTTGGAATGAATCTGAGGGTGTGGAAACGCAGATCCTTCTGTTGTTCTGGATGTGGAGTTTAAAGTAGGATCTTGGGAGAGGAAAGCAAGAGTGATTTAAGGAGTTTTCTCTTCTAGCTGGCTGATTTCTCTGTGCTTTGGTGCTGAGAGAAGGGGATAAAAAAAAGGTCAAGAATGGACTTGTTAGTAAGGAAAGTCCTTCCATCACCATGTTATGCAAACTTGCAAGTGATAAGGTCTGGATGTCCATCTTCAGATCTGGGAAACATGTCCTGGGATCGTGGCTAGTGTGGCCACATTGTAAAAGCCACTGGAGTTACAAAAACATTCAGAAATTGCAGTGAGCTGCATCATGTGGGTGTGTGTACCAGGAAATGTGTCTCTGCCTTACTTTTGGCTTCCTGTAAAATCAAACATGAAAATTACTCTTAGAACCACCTCTTTGGTGCCTGGAACCTAGAATTAACACTCAGTTGATGTTTCTGTTGACGCAGGGAAGGTGAAATGCAGGGTGGGAAAGAAAGTAGGCTGACTTTTTTTGTAGTTGATTTTGATGGTTTGAGATGGAAAAGGCATTGTGTTCTTTATGGACTGGATATGGAGCTCAGTGTTGTGTTTGTCATTGCAATTGCTTTGCAAAGATAGACTTCATATTTATTCTACCTCAGATGCAGAGGTGCTGACTGAGGACTGAATATGGGTCATTGTACTGGAGAACAGATCTGACCATGGAAATGTGTAACTCCTATTTCTTTGTGTGTTTGTCTGACAACTCAGAGGTGAAAACCTAAACCTTTTTTTGCTAGGGGTCTTTCACTTCATGAATAAAGTGATCTCATGCTTCCTGTTGTCCTTTTTCCCTGTCCCCCTTTTAAGTATTTGGGACAGACTAGAGTCTCTGTTTAGCTGTACAGTGAATTTTAAAAAGTGGCAATTTATAATAGGCTCCTTAACACTGTTGTATTTGATATTCCTGCACCTGCCAGCTAAGGCAGCTTGGTATTAATGTGAGAACTCTGGAAATTACTGTTTTTCTAGGAAAAAGGATGAAAACACTGATGTTTGCCCTCTGGTGCAAGCAGTAATACTCTTCAAATGCAAAATTAAGTAGGTTTAACCTGCTGTTCTGGACTGAAAAATCTCTTCAGTAGCTGTAATGGATGAGTAGTGGGTTTGAGTGATGTGTTCCCTCATGGTGCATCTTTCTGGAATGCCATAACTTAACCTGTTGAGATACTTAAAAATAAAAGAGGCATTGCTGAGCACTAATGTCCAGTGGCTCCAGTAAGAGAGCAGAACCACACACAGTCCTGCATCCAGATGGTCTTTGATGTGTTGGAGTTTCTGACCTTTGGGTAACTCCCAATCTTCCAGTTCCATTTTGTTAAGCAAAATAAAAACAATGAACAGGAGAGTAAGCTCAGGCTTGGTGTTCTCTGAAACCATGACTGCTGGAGTTGGTCATGAAGAGTGCTAGTAGCATCAGCTAGAAAGTAATTGCTTTCCTTGTACGTGACTGATAAATACTTGCATTGTTACAACCATGGAGAGTGCTAGTAGCATCAGGTAGAAAGTAATTGCTTTCCTTGTACATGACTGATAAATACTTGCATTGTTACAATATATTGTGTTTTTCAAATCGAGTTTTTAGATTTTAAATTTATGGCTGAGTTAAAAAGACTTGGGCATATGAAAAGCAGATGTCAGCACTGCCACAGCAGTCACAGGAAGACTTTTTTAAACTCAGCTTTAGTTTGTATAAGCAGAAATAGATTTTTTCCCCCTGCTTTGTAAGCATTTATATTAGTCGATGTAAAATGACTTTAAATCAGCACTTTTCAGACTTTTTTGAGATTACCCTTCCTCCTTAATTCCTCAGTCTTCTAGTTGACAAATGATAGGGCTTTTATACACCAGGCTTCAAGTCAGAACATCCAAAACAACACTTAGTCTGCATGTTAAGTAGGATGGTATAAACCTAAATTCAGTCTTATCTGATGTAGAACTCCGAGCTTGCCTTGTAAGTTGTTTGCAATCGTCCTATGCAGTATTTAACAGCTGATTGCTTTCTAGTGGACCTTAATGAGAAGTTGCTGTTGAGAATTCTGCAAATAACTGAGAAGTGTTTTGTCAAAGTACCTTAAACTTTGGTAAGGACATGAGTAAGTTGTAAACTCTTAGTGCACCGTGTTTATCTCAGTGTAATGAAATACATGCAGGTAGGAATTGTGTCTGCACTGAAGTGCTGTACATTTGAAATGAATAGATGTTACTTGGTGTTTGTCAAAAATGTGGTGAGAAAACTGTTCAAGTCTTGGAACAAAACCCTACTCTGAACTGTCTGTGAATGCAGTGCAATGAGCTCAGGAGCAGCATCTTACAGCTCACCAGTGCAGTGATAGGCTTGGTTTGTGTGTGTGTTTGAGTTTTTTTTATTGTTAGTTTTCTTCATTTCTCTATTTGTCCCTTAAGAGTGAAGTCATCAGTTTAGATTTTCTTTCAGGTTTATAGTCAACTGTGTATTTGCATCAGATGGTTCATTCCATACTGATGGTAACCACTGTATTCTCTTAAGTAAGTTGGATCCCTTGTAAAACCTCGTTCTTCATCTCAGTGTCCTGAAACAAATGCATAGAGAGCTGTGCACATAGTCACTGTTACTGCTGATCAAACTATGATCTCATCTGCAAGCAAACATTTGAAATTCACTGCTGCATTCAGCAGGTTAGTATCCAGGAGTTCCTTGTGTGCTGAGAGTATCATCATCTTAATGAAAGGCAGGACTTGTTTCATGAGGAAAGTCTCATGATTCAAGCAGCAAGAAACTGCTCCCAACAGTGCATTAGTCAGGAAGGACAAACAGGAAGAGGGAGAACTGGGAGGACAATTGCTAGGGGCAACTTCTTGGAGGTTGTGTGCAGAGACATTTATGCCAATACCTGAGAGTGATTCAAACAGAAGAGCCTGACTCTGAAGAGGAACTAGGTTGCTACCTCCTGAAAATTTTATTTCAATTTTCTGTGTGAGGGTAGCAGGGAAATGTCAGTAAAGTAGGCTTACATTGAGGTCATTAGTGTGTAATTTGTCTGTAGTTTTATCAAAATCAGTCTGTACATTTTCTTTATTAATCAGCTTGTGTAGTGAAGCTTTAGGCATTGCAGCATTGTTTTAAGATCAGTCTGTGGTTGTAATCAGATCAGGAGAAGAGAAATTTGGATTTGTTGTGAAAGGAAAGATGATCCTACAGAAGAGTAAGTGTAATTTGTTTCTTTTTAGCCATAAAAAAAAAATTTCTGTCTTAATTAGCAATATGATTGCATTCAAACTTTGTACTTACTGGTGTTCTGTGTTGATTGCTTCTTTGCATTTTAAAATACCATTGTTTCTTGTTTAATGTTGATTTTCTTAACATCTTCACTGATAAGTTTACTTGTTTCTGCCAATCTTTAGAGCCAACACAGCCAAGAGGTTCAACTGGTTTGGACTTGTATGTCAGCAGAATGGTTTATCATGTTCCATTATTGGGGATTCCTTGTTGCTGGTGATGGGTGAGCCTGAAAAAACACAGCTTTACTTGCATATCTCAGGGTGAGTTCTCTGCAGACACCTTAGTTATCTTTAAAGCTCTTGAGTTGGTTTGGGTGTTTTTAACGGGTTGTATTTTAGATCTGACCATCTGGACTTCTTTCATCAAAATATACACTTATTCGTTACCTCCTGTGGAATCTAGAGACATGTTAGGTGTCTTCCATTTTGGAGTAAACTGGTGTAATCATAAATGATAGATCAGGTTGCTCAAGGCATTGATTTTAGTGGAGAGATTGCTCCTGCTTGAGCAAGGCATGGGACTATGTGAGATGCCTTCCAGCCTGAATTACTGTATGATAAACCAGCAGTTTTGTATGGAACAAAAAGTAAAATGGAAGAAAACCATAAACTTTTGGTTTTTATTTTGCATCGTTCCTCAATTTGGTGATAAGTTCAAGGATGAGAATTACAACAGCATTGAACTAACATCCTCTGTTGTGTTCCTGCAGCTCCTCTTTAGCCCACTGTCCTGAAGACAAGAGGTTCTGGCTGATCAGGAGTCTCCATTAGCAATTCAAGTTGGCTGGAGAATGGAAGGTGTTGAGTTTAAGGAAGAATGGCAAGATGAAGATTTTCCAAGGTTTTTATTTTTGTTAAAAGTAATGCAGATGAAATGTAACATCCACAATGAGCTACCTCTGTCATCCTGGTGAATTAATACCCAATAATCACCTCGAAGTGATTTGCATTATTATAGGAGTCTTGAAAAGGTTTTGTGACATGTTTCTTTGTAGTCTGTAAAGGGATTGCTTCATGTTCCTGTTTAAGTTAAGTAATACACCATTGCCACTGGAGAAGCTTCCAGGGTTCCTAAGGTGAATGTTTGTAAGCTTGACTTTATTTTCTGTGACAATATTTTGCAACTGCATTGTTTGCATATTATTACTAGTGTCTTAAGGCCCAGATATTTCATTAAGCAACATTTCTGAGCAAAATCTTTAGCAGTTAGGGCTGCTAGGGTTGCTTGAGCCTACAAAGAAACTAAATCAGCTGACTTTAGGGGCTTTCTGTGGCAACATGACTACACTACTGTAATGTATTAAACATCAGATTTTCTCAACCAAGAGTGTGACAAGTTTCTTAAGGATGACACATGAGTAGCAATCAGCATTTTGTTATTTGTCACGTCAGCAGGTGGTTGCTTGAATGCTGTAAAGAAATGTTTTGTGACTTTGGTGCTTTGTTTACTGAAAGCTTGAACTTAGGCTGTAAGGAAATTGAGTTCAGTACTATCCTACAGTGGTTTTCTTAGCAGTGTGTAAGTTTAAATATTTGGCATTTAGCTGACTGTGAAAAAAACAACTTAAGGAAGTTCTGTAACAATAATTTGTACTTTATGTACCAGGCCCCTGCCAGAGGATGATCCTGTTGAGTCTGATACATTGGCTGCAGCTGGAACAGAAAGTGAAGCTGGTAAGAAGATTCCACACCAGTCAAGCTGACTGCTTCCTACTTAAATGGCTGTTTGAAAGCTCCATTGGTTTTTGGTTTTTTTCTTAGGTTTTGTTTTGGGTTTGGTTTTTTTTTTTTTTTTGCTTTGCTTTTCTTTGTTTCAGTTTTGTTTTGTTTTTGAGTCAGGCTGGAGGAAACTGCATTGTAAATGACACTTTTATATGTGAAGGGTATTATAAACATCTTGTCTAGAAAGAAAAGGGTTTTGGAATAAAATATGAGACTCTTCATCTCCCTGTGCAGAGAGCTATCCAGGTAAATGCTGGCCAAAACCAAATTATTGCACTTACTTCCTGACCTGTCTTAAAATCTTAGTTCATTATTTGGCTTCTGTGCATCTGTTAGGGTCTGCCATACCTTTACTCCCAATTCCAGATTTCTGTGGCTGCTTAAGAGCATTGCTTGTCTCAGTGGTCAGAGGGGAAATAGTACAGATTGATTTTCTTTTTTTTTTTACACTAAAAAATTTCTTTGATTTCATCTGTCTGCTTTACTTGTGGCATTTCCAGTGAGGGATTGATATTTGATTTTATTCCCTGCTTTCAACTCCTGTCTAAATCATATATTTGTCCTGTGCCTCAAAGCATTTTGTCTTTCACTCTGTGTTCTCATAGCTTTTATGTCTTTTTTATTTCATCAGAGATGGTTATGATGTGAACAATGCCTAACAAAAACAAGGGCTGGGGACATGAATCTATTGCATGATTTGCAAGACCTGTTTAGTATCTGGAACACCTTGTGGTACACTGTGATGCAGCTGGTGGGGGTAGTTGTGTTGTAGGTGGTGGCAGCAACTTGAGGTTGTGTTCTGTAGGGAGGATGGTGGTCATAGAGTATATGCAGCTGTGTAAACTTAGGGTCTTGAGGACTTAACTTTTACCTGCTGTTCTTCTCATCCTGTATTAAAATCCTAATCCAAAGATACATTGGTTAAGTGATGGGCATGAACTTACAATGCATCTTGGGGAAGGACTGTGCCCTTCTTTCTTGTTTATATGCTTACCTAAACTCACTTCAGCTTTGAAAATAAATTATTTGCTTTTTCTAGATGCAGAGGTCATTGGAACCAAAGTGAAGAAGAAACTCGTGGCTCCAGATATCAGCTTAACTCTGGATCGCAGTGGGGATTCTGTTTTGTCTGATGACTTGGATGACAGTGTAGAGATTGATTTGGATGACATAGATACTCCTTCAGAAAATAGCAATGAATTTGAATGGGAAGGTAAGTATTTTGGTGCTTTTGTCTGATTCTCTAAAATATTTCTATTATGTGGAGCTCAATAGTTTCTCAAGTAGGAAATCACAATGACTCAGTTCCAAGAGGAAAAATATAAAGGAATAGATTAGCTACTCAGAAAGTGATGAATTGCAGGCTTTGTATTTAAGGAAGACTGAATGGTGTTTTTCAAAGTATTGAGTAATACCTGATCTCATATCTTACTGTGGTGAGAATGGTAAAAGCTCAGCAGCCTTAGAGTTTGTGTACTTTCCAGATTGACTGAAAGTAGTAGGAAGAGCCTCTATTTTCTGTTAAAGAATTCTGAAATGACTCGGTAGGAAGTTAACTTAGCTACAACCACACTAGTAATGATCTCAAAATGAAGACATGAATAGAAGCTTTATCTCATTCTTATAGGCAAAACCTGGAGATTCTAACAAATTTTATTTGAGGTAGAAGTTTTGTGTAGGAGTTAAAGCAGAAACTTTCAGCTTGCAGTTTAATTGTGTTTCAAGGCCCTTTTATGTAAGCCAGGCACCACTGTGTTGGTCCAAGTGTTGGAGTCTCTAACTTCTGTAAACTTCATGACTTAAGAATGTCTCTAATAAGTAAACATATGAAGTCAATTTTTTTATTCTGAAAATAATTTTAATTCCTGAGGAAACAGGAACCTCTCTGTTCACTGTTGTGTTTGAAACACTACCTGTTCTTCATTCCAGACAGCTTATACATGGAGAAAGGGACACCCTATAGAATAAGGAGGTGGTTTTGTTTTTTTCAATTGCTAAAGACATATTGAGGGTGAACTTCTCATAACAGAGACTGTGTGTTTAGCTGTGTAAAAGGATTTTCATCATTTTAATGAAGAAGAATTGGTATTTAGGGCTAGTTTTGCAGTGATGCGAAGGAAATGTTCCAGATGTTTGTGTCTTGTTTTTAAAAGTGGCTGAAAAGGGTTTCTGTCTTTTCTTCCTTTAATGCTGCTGCCTTCATTTTCCTGGAAGGATAGTTTCAATTAACAGCTTTGTCTTGGGAACAGACAACTAACTTGCAGTAGGTTTTTCTCGCTTTGGGTAAGGTCTATGCAACAAAGTCAAGAATCATAATTTAATCGGAGCAAATTGCTGTCAGCATAAATTTCATATACATTGATTGCACACATGTCAATTAGCTTTAATTTCTAATAGATTTGCCTGCATGTTTGCTTGCAAGGTACCATCAATGTTTTAAATCATGCTTTTATGTAAGCCTGTGATCAAGCAACCTCTGTAATTCTCGTCATGCTTTTATGTAAATCTGTGATCAAGCAACCTCTGTAATTCTCCTTGGAGTTAACCACTTTGTCTATTTTGGTGAGATTCATTGAGGGCTGTGTTCTGTAAGCCTACAGTTAATTAGGCTGCCTACACAAATGGTCATTTTTCACATACTTTTAACACAGAAAATTGCAGTCAACAGATAAATGCCAGCGTGGAGTGTGTTGATAAAATATCCATGACATCAGCTGGTATGTCTGACTGGCTAAAGAATCCCAAAGTGATTTGATTGCAAAGTGGTTAACCTGTGTTGTAACTGATTGTCACTATACATAGTATCCATAGTGGATCGTGAACGTGTTTCAACTTTGGCAGATGATCTTCCAAAACCAAAAACTACTGATGTAATTAGGAAAGGATCACTCACTGAATATGCTGCGGCAGAGGAGAAGGATGATGGACGACGCTGGCGAATGTTTAGAATTGGAGAGCAGGACCATAGGGTGGACATGAAGGCAATTGAACCATATAAAAAGGTTATCAGTCATGGTGGTAAGTACTTGTGATGTGCTGAGGGGAACTGGTGAGCAACTCTTTCTTTAGGCTGAGTTGAGGTGGTATAGGAAGAGCTTTGGGGGTAAAGACTTGGCATTAAACTAAAGTTCCAACATCTACACATGTTCACATGTGCTAAAATGCACATATATGATAGGATGTGCTTAGTCTGTTCTACAGTGGCAGTGCTACCAGTATAATATTTTGATTTAAAAAATGTTGAAAGCACTTCTTCAGCCTGGAGAAGGTTGTGTGGAGACCTCAGAGCAGCCTTCCAGGATCTGAAGGGGCTCCAGGGAAGCTGCAGAGGCACTCTTGGGTAGGTGCTGCAGGGACAGGACAAGTAGCAATGGGTACAAATTGAAAGAGAGGAAATTTAGGTTAGATATTAGGAAAAGGTGTATTCCTGTAAGGGTGGTGAGACACTGGCACAGGTTGCCCAGGGAGGCTATGGCTGCCCCAACCCTGGCAGTGTTCAAAGCCAGGTTGGATGAAGCCTTGAGCAACCTGCTCTGGTGGGAGGTGTCCCTGCCCAGGGCAGGGGGGTGGGACTGGGTAATCTCTAAACTCTATTCCAACCCCTAAAATTCTATGATTCTATGATTAACTATAGATCTACTAAGGCGTAAATCAATTTCATGACTCTTCCCAACAGTTTAGGCTGGAAGAAGAGTTGACTTTATTAAGTATACTGTTGGTGTAGGTGTTATTAAATATACTGAGGTTATATATAGAGATGTTGGTTGTAGGTGCAGCATTTGATTGACATCATCTTCACTTACTGCTTTAGAAGTAGACAGATTTGAAAAAGAAATCTTGAGGTGTTCTGTAACTGTATGAATCTGTCCACATAGATGTTTGTAGATAATGAAAAATCATACTGAATGTGCTTGACTTGGTGTAAGCACAATCAGTGTAGAGTCACCTTTGTCACTACTGCTGCTTTTTTCTTTGTTTTTAGGTTATTATGGTGATGGCTTAAATGCCATTGTTGTGTTTGCTGTTTGCTTTATGCCTGAGAGCAGCCAGCCGAACTACAGATACCTAATGGACAATCTATTTAAGTAAGTCATCATCTGCCCCTGAGTACTGTCTTAACTCCACATGGTGAAACTTAGCATTCTAAGGGAAGGGCAATGACTCCTCTCTCTCTTGTTAATAAAGTTTTTTATATTTCAGGTGAGGGAAAGGTAACAAATAGGAAAACAACCCCATCTGCTTCCAGGGGAAGGAAAGAAATTGATTAGATGTTGCTCAACATTGTTGCCAACTCTTTCTTCATTGTTTTTAATGTATTTGAGCACAATTTGGAATTATTTCAAGCAAAGATATTAAAGTTTTCTTTGTTTGTCTCTACAGGTATGTAATTGGCACTTTAGAGCTGTTAGTAGCAGAGAACTATATGATAGTTTACCTGAATGGTGCAACAACAAGGAGAAAAATGCCAAGTTTAGGTTGGCTCAGGAAGTGCTACCAGCAAATTGATAGAAGGTAAGAGACTCTGCAGTGTCCTCTTAAAATATTCACATGCTCAGTGATAGGCGTATTTAGGAAAAACTGCTGTTTAACATGGTGTCTGGTATCTTCTGGTTAAAATTTGATTAAGGAAATCACTTGGTATATTGAAAACCTCTTCCTAAGCCAGACAGTGTGGAATAAAGCTGCAGACATGCCTGGGTGGTGTTCTGTGGTGGCTTTTGGTTGGTTGGTTGAGGTTTTTTGTGTGTGTTTCGTTGTTGTTAGTTGTTTTTTTAGTGCAAACAGTAGCCTCAGAATACTGAATATTGTTATCCTGTAGAATATCCTAAAAACATTAATATAAGTGGAGTCCTTTTGTGCATCACTTCATCATTGGTTGTGTAGAAAGATTCAAAGAAACTTCTCCTTGGAATGTTATTTCCTTGTCATTGTTGTCAAATTGATACTCTATCTTAAATTTTGACTCTAGAGTTGTGTAGTATTTTTTCTTCTGGCAGATGTTAATTTCTGTTAATGGAATGTCAGAATAGTAGGTTTATGTGACAGTTGTGCTTGCAAAAACATAACTCAGGATACATTCAAAAAGCCCTTGTCATCATACTGCATTTTCTTCCAGTAATTATGTCCATTGTTTGAATTCTTCAGGTTAAGGAAAAATCTGAAATCACTGATCATAGTCCATCCTTCTTGGTTCATCAGAACACTTCTGGCCATCACAAAACCTTTCATTAGGTAATCTTCTGGAAGCTTCTTCTTTTTTAAGTAGTCCTAACAACTGTTTACTTTGCACTTGAAAGAACTGTTTTAATACTGACCCAGTGAAAAATGTTGAAGTTGTAACTATGCCCTGCATTTGTTCTTCCACAGCTCAAAATTCAGCCAAAAAATTAGGTATGTCTTTACCCTGGCAGAACTAGCTGAACTCATCCCCATGGAATACGTTGGCATCCCAGAATGCATAAAACAGTACGTTTTGTTATTTGAACATGTTCTACATAGATCACGTGTTAGAAGCAGTATGTGTTGTAATCAGTGTTTGGTTTGAGTGTGACACTTGGCACTTAATAACTCCAGCTCAGATCATTGCTGTCTCTAGGAGGAGTTTGACTTCATTGCTAGCTGCAGTTTGGTATGCAGCAGCATGGACAGAGTAATAATTAGTGATTTTCACAGATGGTGCTTTGTGGTAATTACTGTTATCGTGTGTGAATTAAGTCTTCTAGAGACAAGGCCTCAGCCCAGTCGTTCTACACCTTAGTATATACACTAAACTGGTTTGTGAGTGAGAAATTCTGGGCATGTTAATGATCAAGTTACTTAAAATATCTTCAGCATTCTTAGTAAAATGTGGAACAAGTTAAGGGCTGAAGTATCACTCGGGTTAGGTTCTCATTTAACCGAGCAGCAGTGGTGGGAAAATGCTGAATCCCTATCCATTACAGTTCTAAACTGCTTTGGTAAACAAGTGAAGGCAGCATTAATGTAATTTCCCCCCCTCCTGCAGATAAAAATATCCATTTTAACATCAGCACAATTCTGCTGTCAAATATGATGATGATGATGATACTTCTGTCAATAGCGTTTGTGGGTGCAGTAATAGAATAGAAACCATAAACTTGGGTCTTAATAAAATCAGATGGGAATACTAACAATTCTGATGATAAATTGATCAGCCTATTAGAATACAGACTTTAAATTTTATTGATGAATTTTAATAACTGTACAAGAGATCGTATTGAATTCATGTGTTGTCATAGTATATAAATCTTTCTGCTTCTTGTTTAATGCTTATAAATGTTGGAAGGACAATGTATTTTTTTTTTATTATATCCATTTCAGAACTTAATAAGTTTCTACAAACTATATTGACACTAATACTAGTTTTCACCTTCTGTTGATTTTGGCCTTCGTATGTTATATTTACTGAAATAAAACTTTTCTTCACCAAGGTATGAAGAAGAAAAGTTTAGAAAGAAACAGAAAAGGTATATTCATATTTTGATTAGGGTTGCATCTAGATAAGACCATTTGCACTGCAACTAACTCCCAGTTGATTGGCTTGCATAAAGGAATAAGCATTTGTAAATATAAACATGCACTAGTGACTAAGTTTTTATGCAGGAAAGTAACTGTACTGAACTTGCAGGCAGTGTATCCCCACAGAACTCACCCTGGGTGTCCAGACAGATATTTGGGAAGTTTCTATTACTCTGTGTGAGATGCTCACTTTAAGGGGATACATGGGTTCTCAGCTGAGTCTTTAAGAGGCAAAAGTAGTGCTTCTGTGTGAATCTCTTAAATCAAATTTCACTGTTTCTAACTAGAACTGGTATCTTAGCTGTGTTTAGGTGCTAAGCTGTAGCTATGCATTAGCAGAGATGCAACTTTCGAAGAAGTTCTAATATTGAATCTTGTACTTTTGGTATTCATCACCTTTTAGATGCCATCTAAATTAGTATTTTAGTGCTGTTTGTATTTGCAGTGCCTACTTTCCTTGCTAATAAACATTGGAATTCCATATTTTTAATTCTCAATCTCCTGCTAACTATTCAAGCTATTCCAGTGGCTGATGATTTTTTTTTAAATGGATATGTTATTTTTTCACTCACTAACAAATGTGCTCAAAGATTTTGCTACTAACTTTGGGGTTTTTTTAGTTAATTTTCCTGTGTGTGCATAACTCTTAAGGGAGGCTTATTGTCTAAACTGAGTAGAGGAACACAGAGAAAAGTAAAAGGAACTTAAATTATTTCTGAAAGCTAGCATATAAATCTAGTGATGTGTTGAACATTCTTTAGGAATTATTCCAATTAAGTGATAATTTTGCAGTGTGTACCCTGAAGTACCAAGCCTGTCAAGAAATCATTTCAGTGCATATCAAACAATAGTTCTGCTTGATATCCCCCCACCCACCCACAGTGTGCATAATTTGGCCCAATTCTATTGCAAGGATGCAAACCTGGGACATTCAAACAGTAATGCAGAAACCTTTCAAAATCTCCAGTACAACAAGCACTTTTTGGTGTCCCTGTTGATACCTTCACCTGTACCCCCAGGACTTTTGTAAGAAGTAGTATGTTCCTCAGCAAAATTTGGATGTAGAGATCACAGGCAGTATTTGATACTGAGTCTTTAATCAGGTTGGAAACAGTTGCAGGCATTGTTTGTTAGAGTAGGGTGGAAAGGAGATGTGTGGAAGTTTGGTTACTAAATTTGTTGAGGATGGCAGTGGGAGTTGTTCGGCTATGTGTATGAGTCACTCTGGAAGCTTAAACATGATACCCATGTGTGGCTTTCCATTGTCAGCTGTTGATGCTGAGCTGTTTGCATTAGCTTACCGAGTTCTCTTACACTCCCTGGTGAGTCCTAGAAGTCATGTCAAAAAAGATGCTAAGATCCTGCAGTGAGGTCAGGGATGAGTTGCATCTGCAGACTGTGCTGGTGAACAGGGATTCAACTAGGATTGTTGCTCCTAGACACCAGTGCTCCAGACCTGTGGGATCTTTATGTACTCGGCTCAGTTTTCACAGTTGCAGGGAGGAAAAGAAAAAGAAAACAAATAACTTGCCTCTCCTTTTCATGGGTTCATGGCCTAAAGGAGCTGTCATTGTTTCTATCATTTTGAAAAATTGGCTCTGTAGTTTGAGAGTTGGAACAGGTTAGAGGACAAACTTAGCCTCTCTCATTTTGCAACTGTTGTTGGTTTGAAAATTAATTTACCTCCATGCACAACTTACTTTCTAGAAGATATAAAGAAGACCTCTAGCTTCTCCTTTCTGTAAAAAGGAGAAGTAAATTTTGTGCAGGGTTGTCAGTCATGCACTGGTTTCTGCAAAGCAGCATTTTGTTTGCTAGTCTCAGGGCAGATATGGAAAACTAAGGCACAAACCACTTTTATCAGCATGATGGTGATTTTTTTCTGCATAATTCTAGTCATCTTAGAACTTGATAGAAATATTGCAGTTAAGGAGTCTCTTCACTTTTGTTGATTCAGCTAGCGCTGTCACCTTCTTGGCTTAATTACTATCACATTAAAGGCAATTCTGTGCTCATTCTGCATCATATGAATTCATGAGGGTGATAGTGCTTGCCAGTACTTTTGTGTTACCTGTAGGCTTGTTAATGAAAAGCACAGGACCTACTCTTTTCTTCTGTAGTCTGACTTCACTTGCACTTTTTAAATGCTTCCTCTCAAGTGTTATAGTTATTTAAATGGTTTCCTAACAACTTTATTAATTCCTAGGGGGAGGTAGAAAAATAGATATTTTTTAAAAACCCCATTGTTGTGACTGCCTTAAAAAGCTTAATTTAATATTTATTCACTAAACTTTACCCATGTAAAAGCTTTGTTTTCCTTTTAAGAGGGATAGTTTTTTTCTGAATATATGAGCTATCAAACTGTGTTAACATAGTTTTTAATTTTACTGCTTTCTTTGCTAAGCAGAGTTGACCAAGAGCTGAATGGAAAACAAGAGCAGAAAAGTGAACAGTAAGTTTGGAGTCCAAGCAAGACTGAAGAATATGCAGATGGAATGATGCTATTTTTGCTCCATTTACAGTGCATTCTCTGTGTGTGTATGTACTATATAATCTGTTGCAAAAGGTGCTTTGGACTAGCACACAATGAACTGCTTACCTGCTGTATTGTTTGTATTGACTTTAGTAGCTGTTCATGTAATCAGTTTATACTGCTAAGTGTCCAAGAACTCTGTTTTCAGAGGGTGTTCTTGCAATTGTTTATCTAAATGATGCATGTTCTTCAGTAAAATATTTATATACGTAAATGTTAAAGGAAAGAGATAATATATATATTTTTATGACTGAGCAATATATTGCGTGTACCTGCTGAAGGAATTCATTTGCAGGTAGATAAGGCCATAAGTTACTTGTTACTGTATAAATCTGTTTTGCTGTAAATGGTCAAGTGCATTTCTTGGTTGTCACAGAAATTTGTGTGGATATTAACAATCACCTAATGTAGTCTTTCACGAGTGTTGAGATCCTTATTTTTGTTCACATACCTAATACAAGCTCACTCCTTTCCCTCACTCGAGTGAGCCTCAGCTTTTGTGTCTTTCAGTCCATTGTTCAGGATGCAGAACTGCAGTTCTGTGAACTTCAGTCTGTTGGCCAAAGGGTTTAAGCCTAAGCCAAGATTGTTTTGGCTACCAGTAGGAAATGGGTTCATTGCAATTCTTCTGGGATTAACCTTGGTTGCTAGTAGTAGGAACTCTGGCCATACTCAGTAGAACTTGGGAGTTACACAGGTATTCTGGTCATAATAACTTTTGAGGTTTTTTTTGGCAGAGGTATGCTACCTGTGTCATCCTTGTAGACAAAACATCCATCTCTAAAGCTCTTGGTTTGACACGATACCAGCACTAATTTAACTTCTAAAAACGTGTCTTCAGAGTTGGGGGGTATTTTCCTTCTCTGCAAGGGTGTTAAACCTGTGCCTATAAGAGATGTTCTCAGACACAGAACTAGTGTTTAGGTTTATTGGGTAAACAGTAATGCACTGGAGGATAAGTTGTGAAAGTTTATAACATCTTTTGGGAATCGTTGTGATGTCCCTGTAAGGACAGGTGCATGCAAATAGATCCGTTCAGGAGCTGAGCAGTATAATGTTGGAGCAAATATATTAAGTCTTTGCTTTTGTTTTTTATTGTGCTCACAGTTTTGTCTTAACGCCAAAAAACATCACTTCTCAATAGTATTTCAAGTTAGTGTTACTCAGTTACCTTATTAAAAAAAACAAACGGTTGTGTTCAACCAGGTTACTACCTGACCCTGACAAGTAACAGTCAAGAGAGAGTTATATGGTCGACTTACTAATTAACAGTTAATCTACTGTCCCTTATAATCCATGTATAGACTTTCAAAGCATATCCATGTCAGATGAGGGCAAATTACCCGTGACTCTGGAAGTTTTAGCTCAAAGACTTTCATCTCAAGATTCAAGTACTTGTTACAGTATTTTCTGTATCACAGTTTCAAAGAGATTAATATGCAGGATATGCTCTTACAACAGGCAATATTCATGTCCTGTTGCCTTGCATCCATTCCATCAGGTTTGGATCTTGCTCTGAAAGCAAAGCACGAGTGCAAACCATTCCTTTGGGGCTGTTTTATTTCCTGCTTCAATTTTGATGTTGACCCAGATGAATGTAAAGTTCAAGTCAGTAAATCAGACACTTAATTAGACACTTACAGCCTGTTTACTTCTGTTACTTCCACAGTGTGGTGTGTATGAACATGCAAACCTGATTCTCACTGGGTTTGTGTGTGTCCTAAGCTAAACAGTAAGCATTCTGATATCTCATTTCCAGTTTTTCCTAATTGAGAGAAGGATTATTCTCAGTAAAATCAGATTCTTAGTGGCAGCATTATAGTGCTCTATGTCCTGTTATTTCCTGTGTATATACTGCAGTACAGAGTAGCCAAGTCCTCTGTACAGGCCATATCACCAAACGATGGGATTGTTACTGTGTTTCCTGGTAGTAAGTGATTCCACAATTTCATGCTGCAGTACTATGATTTCTTTTGGAAATGTGTATGTGCTTACCAAATGGTTTTTCCTCTAGTACAAGTTGTTGTGAAGGAATATACAACACAACAGTTCTTCTGTCCCTAAAGATATGCAGCTTGAGAAAGAAGTATACTAAAGAATTATTCCCCTCTGACTTTTTGCAGCTCATCATTTAATGGTGAGGTGGATGTTTACAAAAAAACAAAGTGGTCCCAAAGTAATGGGTAATGTTTTGTCAAACTTATCTTTTCTTTTTAAATTTATAATTTAATGTAATATATTTTAATATTTAAAACCATGAAAAGTTGCAATGTCATACTGTAATAAAAATTATTTCAAAACTTGAATCACTTTGTGATAAGATAAAGTATTGTAGGGAATTCACCTTTCAGTGGCACTTCCTGCTAAGAGTAAGACTCACGTTGCTAGAATGCAGTGAGCCCTGTCAAGAAAAGATAATTTTATGAGTCAGTAGTTTACCTTTGATATGGAGGTCTCATTAGTTTATAGACAGATATCTGTGTACTGTAATAGGTCATTACCTATCTGTTGTTACTGCTGTGTGCAACGAGGTAGAGGTGTTCAGGCCAGTGGCCTCTCAATGGATGTGACATTGTGTAACTTTATTTCCGCAACAGGGTAAGTGTTCAGAAGTGGCAAGGAAATGTTAGAGAAAGTGTCATTAAAAACTGATGTGAGTAGACTCTAGATTGCTTGAATGTTCTTGATGTTCTGTGTAGTGTGGCAGAGCCACATTCTGTTGGAAAGTAAATGGTAAGGGATGTATAAGGATTTAGTCCTGAAGCATGTTGAAGTCTTTGAGGTTCTGAGATGTTGAAATGGAGGATTTTTATTCCAGAAAGCATAGAAGTAGTCAGGATAATATGTAACCTTGTTCATAATGATATAGTTTAGCATCCTTTTTCCTTTATTTTCAGTGGATGAGTGAAGGGTAACACTAACAGCTGCTAGGGACTTTGTACCAAGAGAGAGCAGCTGCACTGCGAATTGCACACAGTTGGTATATAGCTTGTATTTGTTAGCCTGTTTCAGCAAATTTATTGTGTCAGGCACTTCAATGATTGAATGACAGCTTAGAACCTTGCAACAGTTCATTTGTATCAGACCTCAGGGTTACACCTGGTGGCAGTGGAATCTTTAATGAACTGCCCTCGAAGTGTGTCATGGGGAAGAGAAGGTGGCAGTGCTACCTGGTCCTGTCAGCTTCACTGGTGTTATCTACAGAAACATCTGCAGGTAACTGAAAATGATGGAACTCCATTGTGAATGGTCACTTTCTAAACTAAATCTGTCACAAAGTGCTAAGTTTCTTGGTGAAAAGTTTTGTTCATTTGTTTCAGTGTCAAATTTTTGTAAGTGTATCCTACAGATTTATACAGTATTTCCTATCTAGAAAGATGGTTTAAATTCACAACTTCTCATCAGGTGTTGTCTTCGGAGATGACTTTAATTCTGAGGTCATTCTAGTCTCCCTCAGAAAGGGGGAACAGAGAGGAGAGGGATCACAGCTTGTGTGCTTTTTTTAACTGCAGAAGTCTTACAAAATTTTCAGTGAAAATTGTTACAGTCTTTGTGGATGCAGGTCACTCTCTGGAGGATTTATTTCACCAACTGGTTGTGAAACACTTGAAATAAATGCTTTAATTGTACTTTTTAAGGACACCTGGTTTTAGTCAGAGTAGCATATTCATATTATAAAAGATACATTTCAGCCTTCCTAGGTTCAGAATTCGAAGTTGAACTCCATTGTTTCCTGTGTCACATATTGAGCTAACAGGGAAAAAAGGGCATTTGTGAAGAGGGTGCAGTTGTGTTAGCTTTTCATCATTCCCTTCAAGCATGACTGACGTCAGTGAAGTTAAAGCCATTCTTTGCACAACTCGATCTTGTTTCAGTCTTGTGATTTGGACTACCCAGATTACTCTGATTTAAATGAACTTTCTTCTTTTTAAATTTGAAAAGTGTCTGAGGAGAAGCTACCAGAGTGTTTTCCAAAAGTCAGGTCCCTGTCTTACCATACTCCTTTAGCTTGCTCAGCTGCTGGTTGATATTTATGTCGTGGAATTCCAGGTCAATAACTACAAATAAACCCTCCTGGAGGACAGATGTTACTTTCCCAGTGGATCTGCAGCTTTGCAGTGTTTCTTAGTCACTTGAACAAACCCTTTTAATTAACAGGAAAGGCCTGCATAGTAGGATGCTGTAATGGCAGGCAGAAGGGTTATGACATTGTCAGTTAGCATCTGTAAGCTTTAATAGGAGTGATATGGGACATGGGCAGTGTTCAACAAAATTAAGCTGCAATAAAGAAAACAGATCGTGAATCGTGGATAATGCGACTGAAAACCAAACTGGGAATGGTGGATAATGCGACTGGAAACCAAACTGTGAATCGTGGATAATCTAACTGGCTGAATGTGTCTAGAGATACTGTTCACTATTTTTCTTTGCTCCTTTAATACCAAAAAATCTCAGTACAAGACTCTTCACCTACCTCTGAAGAACACTGTGACCCTTTATTTACAAATGAGCTGCTCTCTGCGCTCCAGCTTGTCGCGGATAACGCGATAAACATGTGTTTCCTTACAAGAAATGTATAATTAGGAAGAAAAAGCGGAGCAGTTCGCACCCCGGGCCCGGAGGAGCTGTGCGCGGCGCCGGGGGCTGTGCTGAGCCGCGGCCCTTCCGCT